GGCAGTCAGCACAGAGCCCGACGCGGGGCTCGAACCCACGAACCGTGAGATCATGACCTAAGCGAAAGTCGGACGCTTAACCGACTAAGCCACCCAGGCGCCCCCAGATTTAATATTTTCATTATTACTTAGATATGATACCATATACTGAAACATTTGGAAATAAGCCATAGGAATTAGTAAATGGAATTTTGAATATCTTTATTGATTATAAAGATGATTGAAGACTATAGATTTGCAGCTGTCCTGTGCTTCATAAGACACTCCTTTGTCACAAATTAAGACCAGAGCAGCATGGTTGCACCTCATTACAGCATCATGGCTGATTTAATGATGGCAAAGGAGACTGTTCTGAGATGTTTCTTTTATTTCACTAAATGAAATCACTTGGCCAAAGTGATGGAGAAGGATTTCAGAATATTTTCCAATATTTCAGAAAGGGAGGAAATTGTAGCTTTATTTGTCAGCAGGAGCCCTAGGATCCTTTGGAAGGTGCAGGAATGAAGAATCATTTCTTTTACACTAAAGTGCTCCATATAAAGTTTTGGAGGAGAGAAAGGGTGATGAGTCCATTCATTTCAGAGTCATGGTAACTTTTCTTGTTCCCTTTTGAGTCTGCAGATTTATCAGGAAGTAATCTCGAAGTCTTTTTTAAACACTTCTAAAGTCATGTAAAATATTTAGATAAGATGGAATATTGGAGGGTATGTGAAGGCCACTAAAAACTCTTCAGCTAGATAATATTAAAAGTCACATGGTAGGGTCTGAAATTCTAAGTTCATATTATATCATAAATTGATTGGATATACTGTTCCAGATTGTTGACCTCCGTGAAATTCCCTGCTACAGTAAGGGGACTTTAACTTAAATACTAGAAAGCCTCCTAAAAATGTTTTTGGGGGTTAATTAAGCATTTCTTGATTAATCTGTTATGGTCAAGGCATGCCATAATTCCTGAATCAAATCATTCCTATTTTGTCTTAATTACAAAGAATGATGGTTTTTTCTTTAATGTAACTTAGCATGGTTTAATGCTTTATGAATTTTAAGAACGAAAATAGGCTTTTAAATATCAATCTTAAGTAAAATAATTACATTTCATATACTAACCATTTCTTAATTGTACTGCCTTTTTATTGTGTAAGTTTTTAAAGATTTTTTTTCCTTAAAATGCAGTTTTGAGAGGAATTAATACAGTTTCCTATGGAAACCACCTTTTTTTGTTGTTGTTCTTCAGTTTGCCCTTCTACATTGTTGATAATATATGTATTTTGCTTACACTCAAAGCTAATTCTTTATTTTCTAATATAAAGAAAACTTTTGGAAGCAAAATCACTTAGGCATTTGTGTGTGTGTGTGCGTGTGTATGTGTTTTAAATTATTTTGGAGTACTGTTGATACCATATTATGGGCTGTTTAATATAATTCTGTTGTATTGGATGAGACCGTCATTTGTAGCACCTGATTTTACTTAAACCGCAAAGCTGAAACCGTTAATTAGGTTCTTTGTAAGATCAGACCATTCCTTAGCTTGCTTTCCTACTATCATACTTTGGACAAAGGTTAGTGTTTTATCAGTCTTTTCATGAAAATATTTTTGTTAACATTTTTAAGTTAATATAAGCATTTTATTGTGTCTGTAAATGTGCTTATCACTAGATAAAACTGAAATATGGGGCCAACTTGATTCTTACTAATTATAGCAGATGCAAGACAGGTGAAATTTAGGTAATTCTGAGGCCAGCCTTTTTAAAAAGAAACAAAAATAGAATTGATGACCTGGGCTCATTTGACTTGGTTTTCTCCAGTCCTTTTTCTGCCTTTGTGGTCCTTATACTAAGTAACAGAGAGCCACAGAAAGCAGAGAACTATAAGAACATTCCTTTTAGGAGTTGAGGCTGACCATAGTTAATTTTCCATAGTTCCCTTCATGTCACTACAGCCTTTAAATTGTTGGAAGATTACTCCAAGATCATTATAGAGTTAGAATTTGATGTGTTTTCTTTTATAGATTTCCTATCTACTTAGTGGTGCTTAGTTTAACTGGTAAATTTTAAATCTAGAAAATATTGATAGCATTTAATAAATCCTTACAGTAAAGCAGTTCTAAACTAGTTTTTATCTTACCTCACCTCCGTAATTGTTTCAAAAACAATTAGCCTTTGGGATATATTTATATGTATTTTTAAATTCCAGTCTGATTTTAACCTATAAATTAAATCTTTTTTTTTATATAGCTATTATTTATTTTATTTCCATAGTGGCAAATTATGTTACTGTCTCACATTAATGAATTAACAGAGTTACAGAAATGTGTGATTTTAGCTATGGATTTAAATCTCATTTGTGTTTGGTTAGCTAGCCTACTTATTTATTGAGGGCTGATTTTCCTAAAGTTTGAACTTGTTGCCTGGGATTCTTTATGAAATATATTGCATAAAAACCTTGAAAGGTACTCTTGTGTAAATTCATAAAATATTTATAGTTGTTTTAAACTTCAGAACGTAACAAAATTATTAATTACATGCCTTGCCAAAGTCAAAAACTGGCTTTTTAGTGAATGATAGGCCATCTATTAAATCTGAAAAATATATTTGGTAGTAGATGTGTTAACTTATAATAAAATTTTGTTTTTGTATCTGTAATTTTTCCCCCCAGGGGTTTTGTGGTTACTCTTCTGTTTGGAAAAACAAACTCAGAGAAGTACCTAGAGCAGTGTGAACACTCATTTCTTCCTCCAACATCAACTGGGATTCCCAAGGTAAATAGGGTAAAGGAATGTGTGAAACCTCAAAGTCCTGTTCTGTGCAGTGATGATAATGTGGTCATCTATATGGCTTGGCAGATTTTCCTATAATTCACTAATGCTCATGTTCCATTTATCGAAGACTTTCCTCATCATGCTTAGAAAATGCATTTTTATTTTTATTTAAAAAAAAATTTTTTTTAATGTTTTATTTATTTCTAGGAGAGAGAGACAGAGACAGCGTGAGCAGGGGAGGGTCAGAGAGAGAGGGAGTCACAGACTGAAACAGGCTCCAGGCTCTGAGCTGGCAGTCAGCCCAGAGCCCGACGCGGGGCCCGGACCCACGAACCGTGAGATCATGACCTAAGCAAAAGTCGGACCCTTAACCGACTAAGCCACCCAGGCGTCCCAGAAAATGTATTTTTAAAAGATTACTTTGAGAACGTTTTTAGTGTTAGATCTTAAAAAGTGGGAATGCAAGTTGTAGGAAAAGATAGAAATTTGGGGCCTGTCCTGCTGCTTTAACATAGGAGTTCAAAATTTGGAATGAAATAAATTACATAGAAACCAGAGAGAAAATGGGCCCTTTTCTTTAACTGACTTGAAAAATACAGCTTGCAGTTAGACTATGTAGTATCTATAATTTTTAAATTTAGGCCCAGTTTTATTCACATCATCTTGACTGTTGGTATATTTCTATTTTTTACGTCATAATCCATAAATAAATTGGAATTCAGTATTAAAGATAGGCTTCAGATTTGCATTGCCTTCAATTCTTGTGGTATACAGGATGGTTTGTTTCATCTTGTATGAGGAGAGACAAATGGCCTGGAGTCGATGCCTCTATTTTAACTTTACACTTATTAACTTGTCTGTTACGTGCTAAGATGTAGGAGATGCAGAAATATTAATATACAGTATTATTTTATATTACCGAAATAAAAGAATTTCACCCTGTCGTAATAACGTTCATGTTAATAAATTTTTTTTCTAATACAACTTTTAAAATCATCTTTGAGACTTATTTCCACCCTCCTTTAGGATTACTGTTAATATATATTCTTTTGAGTTTGCTCACAAATCTTTTTGAGGAAATGAACCTTTTCTTCTTGGATCATTTCTTAGCCATCCATTATTTTTCATTCATTTGAATGGTACATAATAGAGGATAAGAAATCTCTAGAAATTAATATCCTAAATGGAAATAATCACAGTCAAGACTAGTTAAGTCTTATAATCTTTTTTTAGTACATTGTATAAAAAGAATGATTTTGATTTGTTATTTCTAAAATGATGTATAAGTATATTTTATGAAAAAAATCTTAACAATTGCATGTTATAATTTGAAGCATATGTTTTATGTGTATATTTGTGCTTTGCTGTTTGTTCGTAATTTTAATTAAAGAGTGTCCCACTGCTTTTCCTGTATTTCTAGTCCGTTGATCTTTCTGAACACTACATAGAAATAGAGGAATTCATTTTCTTTAGTTGCTAAAAATCATCCCTAAATAAAGTTAATTAAAATACATTCATTTGGCAGCTGTGTATATGGGCTGGGAAGGGAGGAGAGTTTAATAAAGACAATTATTAATTTGACTCACCTGAAACACTAACTTATGGTTTTGAAGTTTAATTGAAATACAGCAACAATGTATTTTCAGTGTTCTTACATTATAAATAATATTTGCTGATTTTATTAAATTTTTGAGGATAACAATAGTATTTTTTTCTGGGTGTCTAACTTTGTTAACTTGAGAAGTAGTGTTTGGTTTATACCACAACCTTGAGAAATAAAGCTGTTACTGACTGACTTGAAGATGACAAGGAAGTTACAATGAATATTCAGTTAGAAGTGAACTGTAGAGATTTTAAGTTAGGAAACTATGCACTAAAATGTTATGATTTTCTTTAAGTGCTTAGAAGAAATGAAACGAGAAGCCAGGACTATAAAGATTGATAGAAGATTGACAGGTGCCAATATAATTGATGAACCTCTGCAGCAAGTGAGTTTTCATATGTGGTATTCAGATTCCTTATATTGTGTATTAAGGTGTATTTCTTTTGAAAAGAGTAGGAAATAATTTTTGTTATTTATTAATATGCTGTAAATTCATTCTGCTGTCCTTGGATTCTATAACATGGTGCCTTATTTATGAAATCATTCGTAATGAAGTGGTTTATGTAATATTAAAGCCTTTTGTTTGAATTTGCATTTAAAAAAATGTTTTTTGATAATGAATATTTCTAATTATTTTAAAGTTAAAATGCTCTAGCTGATGAACAAACTGAGTTGTTTGGAAAATCAGACATTTTATTCTTATAATTTTTTAAATGGATATACCTGATTTGATTAAAAAATATTTAAAAATTAGATTAAAAAATTATTCTCCCCCAGTTATTTTTATTGATGTTTATTTGATTATATGATTGTTATAATATGCACTTTAAAATTCTAACATTTCTTTTATAGATTCACTCATATTTAGTTTATCTGATTTTCAAAAATAATATACACACAGTTGTATTATTTGCTTTTTATTGACTGACTTAATACTGTTGCAGGATCCAAGGTATTAGAATTAAATGAACTCCTTTGTCTTTTTTGTAATTTGACTACAGTAAATTTAATGATATAATCTTGGAAAAGTGGTTTCTTTTTGAGAATTAGGGTCAATTGGTATTATTTTGCACCTCGTTCCATTGAACTAATTAAAACTCTTGATTGTATCATGACACTGAAAATTTATGTTTTTTTGCAAACTCTGTCTTTACCTGAATAAGGGTGGGGATTGACCAGAGAAAATTCTTTAATTTTTACAAAATTTTGACAGTGGATGAATTGGGACACCAAAATAATTTAAGTTTTTGAAAAATGTTGTAACATATTGATGCTTTTGTAAGAAAGGCAGTTTTTTTTTTTAAAATCACAGTTTAGTATGTAGAGAGTAAATATAAATTGGTAAATAATCCTTTCAAGTTTTAGTGTGCCATTGATAACTTTTTAAATCCTGAAAAGATATATTTTTCCCAATATTTTTGTTTTAGGTTATCCAGTTTTCCTTGAGGGATTATGTCCAGTACTGGTATTATACACTAAGTGATGATGAATCTTTTCTTCTTGAAATTAGGCAGACTCTTCAAAATGCACTCATTCAATTTGCTACTAGGTAAGGTCACTGTTTGATGAAGAAAAATTTAAATATATTCTTTATACCAGTAAGGAAAATGACTTTTAAATGGGAGGGGAAAATTGATTATTAAAAGGTAAGCAGAACAGTAGATTATTATTGTGAGTTAACTCTCAGATTATAGACTAGAGCCATAAAAATCTACACTTCTTTAAATTTAACCTTTATATTTACAGAATGCTGATATTGATTAAGCCTTGATCTCTGTGTGAATGTCAGTTTCTTCCTCAAGGTCCAGTCATGTGTCTTTCCACCCCACTTACTGAGAATACCTTTTCCCACCCTCTTACCCAGATACGCTGTTTTATTTTAGTGCCATGGAAATAGTTTCACTTTACTAATCTACTTTTGACACATACCTAGTAGAAGTCCTTTTAGGGCGAGAAGAAACCAAAGGAGCCTTAAGTCAGTATAGACTATTCAGTTTATTTTCAGAAGGGAGTATGTTTTGATGAGTTTGCTTTAAGAAATTTTTAGGAGATATACTAAATTTTTCACATTACAAAACTTGCTTATATACTACCTACCTTATGACAAAATATTTTGGTCTATATCATTGTATTTAAACTCCTTGATTTTTTGGGTGGCCATTTCATATCCAGAAATTACTTATTTTTGAAAGAGAATTTTATGTTTGGATGAGTTTGCAATTTTTTTTTTATTAAAAGATTTTGTTATCCACCACACACAAAGCTTTTCCTTCTAGCTTGTAGCCTCAGGGCAGGAAGTTGCGTGCCTTGGCCTTGAGTACACTTTCTAATCTGAAGGTGTTATTTTTCAGCTAACCCCTCTTCTTCCCCACTTAAGTTCTTGAAATACTGTCTTGTACTTTTGACACTCTTGAAGAATTAGAGCTTTGCCCTAGGGCTTTCTACTGCATTTTCATCTCTGTGCACATCGATGTTTCTAGCTCATGCTATCCTGTCAGGACTTTCCAACTATAATTTAGTTAATCCTAAACTTTAGAGTAGGAGTTTAGTTCCTGAACCTCAGGTTACTGGGGAGGCTGGCAGTCATGCTTATGGTTTGAATAATAACCTTACTTAGAGAGAGAGATCTGAGCTCCTTCTCCCTCAGTGTTAACAGCAAACATTTGCAGAGTAGCCAGCTATCACTACAAGTGCACACTTACTGTGGAACACAGAAAGTAAAGTCTAATCAAAAGTCAGAGATTAGATTTTATCTCCTTTATTTCATATATATTTATATGTATGTATATATATAAAATTTATATATATATAAAATTATTGAGTGTTAGGTATTCTTTCAGATAACTCTTCTGAATTAGTCATTCACTACTTTCTATAGTAACATCATCCTAATAACTCTTTTTTTTTAACCTTTGGGAAGGTGGGAATAAGAGTTCATCATTGATGTATCTGACTACCTAAGTATAAATTGAAATATAAGAAATTTTAGACCTGGAAAGAACTTTGAGCTAGTAATTGGGAGGCTTGAGTTTGTGTTCTGCTTTACTACTTAGCTATGGAACTATGAAAAAGTATTTTAAACTTTTTGAATCTTGGTTTTTCTCGTATGTGAAATAAGCATAATAATACCTTCCCTGTTCTGTATTCCTTACAGCATGATTGTTGGCATCAAATTTATTTAATTCATTCAATTTATATTTTGTGTCTACTTTGTACCAACCAGGTGCTGCAGATACTGCAGTGAATAAAACAGGATCCTTGTTTGATGAAATGTAATGAAAATAACACTTGCAAAAATGTTTTTTATATTGTGAAGCAATTTGAAATTGAAATTTTTAATGCCCTCCACCATTTATTTATAATTTCACAGATGAGGAAGCTAAGGTCCAGGAAGATTGATTAGTCCAAGATTATCCACATTCTAATATTCATTCCTCCATTCCCTACCAGATATCTTATGATCTAGATTTTTCATCTTAGGGGCGCCTGGGTAGCTCAGTCAGTTAAGCAGCCGACTTTGGCTCACGTCATGATCTCATGGTTTGTGAGTTCCAGCCCTGCCTTGGTCTCACTGCTGGCAGTGGGGAGCCTGCTTGGGATTCTCTCTCTCACTCTTTCTCTCTCTCCCTCTCCCCCTCTCCCCCTTTTCTCCTTTCCCCCTCTCTCTCTGCTTCTTCCCCACTCATGCTCCCTATCTCAAAAAAAACAAAACAAAAAAACCCTTAAGATTTTCATCCTAGTTTCCCCCGTTTTTACCTCTCATTGAACTACTTTCCCTGTTTTTGATCCCCCAAACCTCCTTTTCTTTACGCTTCATGTAGTGAATTATTTTGTTTTTATTCTTTTCCCCCTTTTGTAACATTGTATGCTACCAGGCTGAATATTTGGGTGATTGCAGGAAGAGTCAGGTTTCTTCCATCCTAGACTGACCTGATCTTTGCTTTCTTATTGACCTTAATTTTTGGACAAATAAATCCTCTTCTTTTGAACCTTAGTTTCCTCAGTCGGAATAGGCTGATGATAACAAAGGTAGTTTTGAGGCTGTTTTCAGGCAAAAAATGATGCAAAGTAAAGTCTCTAACATTCAGTAAGGCTCAGTAATTGTGCCATCCGTATGAATGACTTTATTTTTGTTCTTTGTTGACTTTTTGTTTTACTACTAACAGGTATCTAACAGGTATCTATCCTGTTGCTACTAACAGGAAAACAGGATTGTTTTCAGAGTCTCTATGATTGTTTTCAATGATAGTGTCGAAATTAGGTGTGTTTGCAATCATTTGAACACTACTTCCATCCTTGTTCTGTACTATTAATTGTCTCTGGAGCATTTAACAGAAGCATTACGTTATTACCTCTGTGCTTCAAGTTACAGTCTTCTATAGGGGCCCATGAAGCCCTGAAAGTGTATGCAAAACTGTTTTTTTATTTGGGTGATTACAGATTTCATTTTATTAAAAAAATTTTTTTTTTTAATGTTTTATTTATTTCTAGGAGAGAGAGAGAGAGAGAGACAGCGTGAGCAGGGAAGGGTCAGAGAGAGAGGGAGTCACAGACTGAAACAGGCTCCAGGCTCTGAGCTGGCAGTCAGCACAGAGCCCGACGCGGGGCTCGAACCCACGAACTGCAAGATCATGACCTAAGCGAAAGTCGGATGCTTAACCGATTAAGCCACCCAGGCACCCCCCCCCTTTTTTTTTTAATTTTTTTTTTAATGTTTTACAGATTTCATTTTAAAAAGGGCCTATGAACCCAGAAAAAAATTTTGAACCCCTCAATTTTAGTGGTCATAGTTATTCATTATTTGAGGAAATAATTATAGGGAATTAGCATAAAATGAAAAGCTAAAGCTAATTTTGAGACATAACAGGAAGAAAAAGACATGTGAAGAGTTTGAAGTCCTGATTTTGAGCTGTTATGCTATTATTTATTAATCTCTATGACCTTGAATGAACAGAATATATAAATTCTTTGAGTCTGGTGATAACCCACATCTACTTATGATATGGGTTGTTAGTTTTAAATGACATCACATGTGAGAAAGTACTTTGTGTTAACATGAGTATCTGTTACTCTAGTAGCAGTTTAGGGATGGAAAACTTCATAGAGCACACTTGAGTTCTCTGTGGTAGAACCTGGGTATGAACTAGGCTGGAGCTTTAGGGGTTGTATCAGTGATAACCTATGTATTTTTATTCCTTCTTCAAATAAGATATTATGATACAGCACTGAGAGCCCTGGGATATCTGTATTATAATTCTACCTGTACCATTGAGTTACAGTGTACTTAAAATTTCTTACCATATATGTAAAATAATAATACTAGTAGCAAATATAGAATTGTGAGGGCCAAATGAGATGATGTTCAGAAAGCATGTTAGGACATGTTAGGAAAGAGCAAAGTTCTGAAAACGGGGATAAGGTTAGTGTAGTAGAAGCCATAGGGAGATACAAGTGATCAAGTAGCTTTATTGAACTCACGGGTAAGGTGTGGCAACTCTGTTCCTCCACCTCTGTTCCCCTCAATCCCGAGATTAGCAGAAAGGAGATTTATTCTAATGCCACACTGTGTTCTTCCGAAAGGGTTTTCTCATAGGAGGAGGAGGTATGGCTATGTATATTCCAGGATTCAGTGGATACTAATGGTATCAGTCTTTCTGGAATGATGGGAGATATGTTCTGAAAGTTTAGCCATTTTTCTCAAAACCTTTGCCATAGAAGTAATAGATCACGTGTTCCCAGACTCCTCCAAAAGGCAAGCACAATGCAGATAATGGACATTTGTAACAGTAAAGTTGTATACTCTTTCGCCATTTTCTTATGCTTTGCCATTTGAAAACAGCTTAAAACTGACTTTAATCTGGGGTGCCTGGGTGGCTCAGTCAGTTAAGTGTCTGACTTGGCTCAGATCATGATGCCATGGCTCATGGGTTTGAGCCCCGTGTCAGGCTCTGTGGTGACATCTCAGATCCTGGAGCCTGCTTCAGATTTTGTCTCTCCCTCTCTCTCTGCCCTTCCCCCACTCATGCTCTCTCTCTTTCTCTCTCTAGTATAAATAAACATTAAAAAAAAATTTAAAACTCACTCTACTTAAAAAGATGATTGTTGTCCTGTTTACTACAGTACAACAAAAACAATTAGATTATTTATTTGTTTACTTATTTTAAAGATTTTATTTTTAAGTAATCTCTACACCCACTGTGGGGCTCGAACCCACAACGCTGAGATCAAGAGTTGTACACCCCACCACATGAGCCAGCCAGCTGCTCCCCAGGAACCATTAAGTATTTTAAAGAAGGGAAAATAACTTAATGTTTTTACATGTGTAGAGTAGACAAGAGGTTGTTAATTGTATACTACATAATTCACATACCACACAACTTACTTAAAGCCAGTGGCTTTTATTGTATTTGTAGAGTTATGCAGTCTTCATCACAATCAATTTAAGAATGCTTTAATGAAACTGTATCTGCTGTCATTCACTCCCTATATGCCTGCCCCCCCACCCCAGAGTAACTAGTTCTAGGCAACCCTTACATAATTTCTGTTCCT